CAGAGGTTGGTGTTTTCAAGTGGAAAACAGTGCTGGATGCATCCCTCTGCAATTACATTTCAGTTAACAACTTCTTACAAGGGAAGGAATTGCAGTTTTTCAAAAGTCAGTGTAGCTTTCTTTGTTGGTGCACTTTCGGGCTGCACTTGCTTTATCGCAAATCTGATTAAGAGTCTCTGTTTTCTTTTCGCTTTTATGTTTAATTTCCATATCCTTTCACACTTTTAATAGCACTTGAATGTCTCTTGATACATATGTTTAAATTAATACCAAAAGAATAGCCCCATTTTTTCCTTAATGCCATGATACCAGATACATGGAACAAAAGTAGGTAATTTGTACCCTGACCATATTTCCAACATACATAATGAGGCAGCAAAGCCATTTAGATTTAATGAAACTTGGGAGAGATCTTTCAGCCTTTGTCTTAGAGACAACACATGTATTCTTGACTTGACAAGCTTCAACTGCAGGGCATGTTTAGCAGCTGCTAATAAACATATGGCATAGTGCCACTGTTCAAGTGCGAAAAGGAAATTGTAGGTGTTAAGACAGTAAAGCAGTGGAAATTTCTATAGGTCTGTTGGATATTACACTGAGGAAGAAGTGAGTGATGATTTCAGTTTATTTTTGGGATACATTTAATTTGGAATGCCAAAATACATCACAAGTGGTTGCAGCTGCTGTAATTCAAGGGTGTTGAGCTGTCAGTTGGTGCTTTTTTCTAAGACAAAAATCTTGACTCCTTTTTTCTATTCTGTTTTCTAAAATAATCTGTCTCAATATTAAAGCTTAAGGAAGGATATAATCAGCTTGAAACTACCTTTGTTTTTTTAATAAACAGACTATTGTGTTGCAAAAATCTTAAGAAATAGACACTTACTGGGAAATCACTGCAAAAGATTTTAATTCTGTGATGAATTTAGATCCATGAGATGCAGATTTATTGGCTGCTGGGGGTTCCTCCCCTCAAAGCTGCTTCTTAAAACATTTTCTCTCTGGACATAATTTGAAGCCGAGCTTTGGAAATACTGCCAGAAAAGCTTTCTCCAGCCTAACAGGCATGTTGGTTTAAAGCAGAAGCTCTCCAAAAGGAGGAAGGCCTTTGATGTGTTATTTTTTCCATGTGAACTGTAATTGTTTGCTTTGTATAAGCGGTGATGAATAGAAGTCGTGCTTCAGATGTAAGAGTTACATTATAGTGTTCTAAGTTAACTTCTTGAATTACTCTTAGCAGAGCAAAAAAGTTGAGGAGGAAGTCAGGCCTTCAGAGTAAGGAGTATTACTTACTGTATTTTTATACAGTGTTTTTACCAGACCTCACACTACTCAATTGGATGTTAGGCACTTAATGGAACAGTTTTAAATTGCCGAGTTTTCTGTGAGCGATGCTATGGCATGTAAAACGGCAGCGGAGCATCATGTGTGCAGCTGATAGGACCGACTTCTGAGATAATTTTCCTCTGTAGCTGCACATGCTTAAAAAGTTCCTGATAGCTCACTTTTGTTAGAGGATCCATTTTTCAGGATAAGAATTAATTTGGGGGCATAGGGAAACTGCAGTAGAGTAAGGTGTGGTAACGGGGAAGGGATTACAAAAATGTGGCATAACTACTTTTCCTATACATACAGCTGAGATGGAATCTATGGTTAGATTGTTGGTTTTGGGTTGGTTTGTTTGTTTCCCCCACCCCCCACCCTCCTGCTCCCAGGAGACACAGTATGCTGATGGCACAGGAGGAGAAAGAAAAGCAGGTTTCTAGTAGCAGGTTTTGATCATCTGTTTCTGCTCCGGTTAGCTTTTAGGCAAGTTTAATTAGTGAATTATACATATGAAATAGTAATTTATCTTTGGGTGTATTCAGATGAGTCTAATTGAAACTGAGCACAATATTAGTTTCCTTGAGCAGTCTCTGTTCTGTCAGACTGCTTCTTAATCTCACCTACAGAGAGAAGCTTTTCAGACTTACAATGCTGTAGATCCCACAAATAAAGCTGAAATACTCCTGATTTTTGTTCTAGATTTCTTACCAGTTTTTATTAAAGGATAAGGTGGTTTGGTGTTGAGATAACTTAGGTGATGGGAATATTTGATCTATATTCTGAAAATATAATTGACATCTAAGCAAATATTATCAGTTTGTGGTTCTCATCAGAAAAATAGTAGCCTTATGACGATGTGCTATGAGCACAACATAAGTAACAGAAGCTTGAAAATATACTTTTTTAATTTTCTGTAACTATTTTTTGCACCTTACCTCCTCTTGAACCGTATTGTACTTTTTCTGTACAAAGGAGAGATGTTTAAAACTCTCCAAGGGATATTAAATTTTTTTCATTTTTCTCATGGTAAACGCTAATTCTACTTGTCACACTTGGTTTACTTAGGCTTGGTAACTGTTCAGATGTCAGGGCTTTCATTTCATTTGAGGTGTGGCATTAGGATTAGCTACTCCCATAGTAGCAGTTAAACAGTTGTTTCCAATATTACAGTTAGTTTTAAAAATATTTATGCACCCATTTCTGTAAAGCTGTAATATTGATCTCTTTCCCCCAACACACACCCCTGTAGCTTGGATGTTAGTTGCATGATGTCTCTTATTTTTCACTCAGCCTTCTGGTCTTTCCATAATGAAGGCTTCAGTCTTGTGTTTCTGTAGCACATTTGTGATCTGCAGCTCCTTTTTACCATGCTGGGTTGTCGTTTTCTTAGGAAAAAAAATGTATTGTAAATCTTGATTTCTGTTTTTATCAGCTTGATGGGATACATACACATGCTCAGTTAAAATGTACTCTATCTCCATTCTTTAATCAGACATTTCTGAAAAGAAAAGAACCGCTGCAGACTATTTTTAAATTTTATGTGGTGTTTAATGTGTTCTCAGAGAGCAAAATTGTCAGCTATCACAGCATCTACCTAACATTTACTGTGTGAGATGTGAGTCACTGATGATTGACTTTGACTAGAGTGACAACACTTTAGGGTACGATAATTTTCATCTTAATCTGATCCAAAGTCAGTGTAATTGGTGTTTTGAAACTACACAGTGCTCCGTTGCTGGAGTGACAGAAAGCTAGTCCAGATCCAAAATCCGCTTTGTCACACATTCGGGATGTACTTTCTGTTTCAGAGCTCTGATCTGAGGGAGTACTTGGGTATGTCAGAGAGCATGCAGAAAAAATTAAGCTGAGGTTGGACAAAAATCTGTTGCTTGTTTTCACATAAAAGCCTAATTGCTTTTATTTCTACCTCTTCTTTTCACTGAAGTGTTTTTCTGAGAAGGGTAGAGATTTAGAAGCAACTTGAATGTGACAACAAACTGAAATTTCTCTGCAGGAGATGCTGAAATGGTACAGTTTCTATTTTGGTTATGCTGGGCATTATTTGCTGCTTATGGAAGTAAATACCATTTTAGAGGATGTAGTTACAGCCTCAGTTGTCATCCCAGTGATCCACACTGGGATTATAACTTGAGGTGAGTACTGATTTAATGCACTAATTCCTGTGTGGTGGAAAGTGACTTTTTTAAATATAGCTGTTTTTTGCCATAGTCCCAGGCTAAGGGTATTACTTTTCTGCAACGTATATTTTAGCCCTAGTATAGATTATGGGCTCATGACTGCATTAACACTTCCTCGTTGATGCTGATTTTGACCCGTAATGTTCAGGTAGTCGAGCTCTAATGATGCCTCTAGCCCCCAAACCTGTGAATTATTCTAGGAAGTGAGAGGAGAAGATAATGGCATAACTTGCAAAATCTGATCTTCTCTTGTCCTAATCTATTGGAGCCAGCCAGTTTTGAACTGTCCTTATTTGCTAGGGAAGAAGAAAGAGTCTTAGAGATCCAGTATAAAACAGACTCTGTCATTGTCGCTGCTCTTGATGGCAGCACATATCAATCAATATAAGTATGGTCTCAAATATGCCAGTCTGTGGTGTTTTCTGCTTTGTTCTAGCTGCTGCTTTGTAGCAGCTCTGAATCGTCGTTGTCTAAACGTCAGTTATAAATTTTCTAAATGCTCTAAAATCCAGTTCAGATCTGTTGTTTCTCATCAGTCTCTCACTGTCTGAACTAATCTTTAATAACAACTAATTTCTTGGTGTTGGATTGTCTGATACAACTTTTAGCAAAATTTTCAAGCCACGTTTGAGATCACGTCTTAAAAAGGTTGTAGAGAGGCACATGAGTACATATTGTTTGTATAGTAAGTGTGTAGCAGTTAAAGGTGTTGCTACTGGAAAGTTTCAGTGAAGCTTGATTCAAAGTCTTGGTTAAATAATGTAATGGAAGCTTAAGTTTTGTTTGGTCACCTGCAATATTCGGTCCACTTGTCCTGTAACACAGCTGTTTAACCCTAAGACTGCCACAATTAGAAAATAAAGAATAAGTGCCTAATTTGTAGAACTGTATAAGAAATATATCTGCTATTATAACTACTTCAGTAATATGTTTTCTTTAAAACATATAAGACAGTTAGATTGGGAGATACAGGCCTGATCTTTATGTATTCATCTCTCAGCATGAGAAAATGTCGAATCAGTTACCAGGGTTCTACTTACCCATTTAAGTGGAGGTTTCTAGGGAAGAATGGGGGGTTGGATATGTGAAAACCATCTAGTTAAATCTTTGGAAAGAGAGAATCCTGAATCTTTAATGTATGTGGGTTAAGAAAAACAAGTCCTTCACACTCAACTAAATCTTTTCCTTACTTTTGGCCGAAATTTCACTTCCTTTGCCCTCAAGGCAATTCTGCTAGTTCTGTTTTTGTTCCAAATTTGGGGGCGGAGCGTGCAGAATGAGATTGTGATTCTTAGTTTTCAGAAATATTTTTTTAATTATATATTCCTGCCTGCCTTTGACCAAGAACATAAATTAAAAAATATTGTTTGAATAACATTATCTTCTTAAGTTTATTTTCATATCCTTATTATAGTGTTGGAGGACTAAGGAGAGCATTCATTAAGAGCTAATTATGGTTGTGGTTTTTTTTAATTGCAGGAGTCAGAGTTACCATCAGAACTGAATAATGAAGGATACTGTGATTTTAACAGCAGGCCAAATGAGAACTCTTACTGCTATCAGCTCCTGCAAGAGCTCAACGAGCAGAGGAAGAAAGGCATTCTTTGTGATGTTAATATTGTGGTGAGCGGGAGGGTCTTCAGAGCTCACAAGAACATCCTGGTTGCAGGCAGCCGCTTCTTTAAGACTCTGTATTGCTTTACAAACAAAGAAAGCCGTAACCAAACCACTGTTACCTATTTAGACGTTGTTGCTGTTCAAGGTTTTTCTGTCATCTTGGACTTCTTATATTCTGGTAACCTCGTGCTTACGAGCCAAAACGCCATTGAAGTGATGTCAGTGGCCAGCTACCTTCAGATGACGGAGGTTGTCCAGTCCTGCCGCAACTTCATTAAAGATGCCTTAAACATAAGTATAAAATCAGAAGCTCCAGAGACCGTTGTAGTGGATTACAACAGAAGATCTGTTAGTAGGGATGGTTTGTCTCCCAGGGATCAGAAAGTTGCCAGCTTCTGGGCAACACGAAATCTTACCAACTTGGCAAGTAGCATAAAAACTGAGAACGATGGTTACTCTATTGATGAGGGCCAAATGGAAAGCTACCAAATGAATGACTGCAGTTGGGTCCAGGACAGCTCGCCTGAAATGGCTGAAAATGAATCTCAAGGTGAGGGAAAAGTTTTCGTATGGAATGACATGGGCTCACAGGGACAATCAGTTCAAGAACCTGGAAAAGCAAGAAGGAAAAACCAAACTGCAAAGAGATTTATTTATAATATACCACCTAATACTGAAGAGAACTCAGAAGATTGCTCAGTGTTGCAACCGTCAGTCCCATATCCGGAAGAAGATTTGTCATTTATTAAAGAAGAAGCAGGTAAATATTGCTTAATGTCAGTCATGTCATTTGAAACTAAATTATTGAATAAAGTACATGACAATGTAACTTTTATAAAGGTGTGTTGGATAGGATCTTTTAGTGAAGTCGGCACACCAATCAGGTTACTAAGTCAGTAATCTGATTCTCCACCTTGGGGCACAACAGTGTATCTTTGGCTAGAGAAAGGAGTGACCGTGCTGTGCCATGCAGTATGTAACATGCTGTTTGCATTTGATGCTTGAGTTGGGGATACTTACCAGCTCGTAGAAACTAAAATTCTTATATTTACGTTTAATCTGTAGCCACTATTACGCACAAAATCAAGGAGTGATAACTGGTGGCTAATGATGTTAGCTGGTTGCACAGAGAAAGGGCCTTCATAATTTCCTTCCCTAGACTAGCAAAAGACTTTTGTGGTAATCTCCCTCACCTGAGTGTCACCCAGAAACAGAAGTCAACTTTCCGCTGCTGTTTATTGTAGGATTATCTGGGAAGCTACAAAATGGAGTAATCCTGGCTAGTATAATAGAAACTCTTAAAGCAGATTTGTGAAACAGATTGGAAAGACATGCCACAATGACATATAGTAAAGGGACTATCTTTTTGTTGAACTATTCTTTAAACAAATCCTGAGAATGACTGACTGAATTCATAGGATTTTTTTCCCTTAAGGATCTACGGTTAATGTAAATGCTAAAATAAGATTAAATATCTGCTTTCTAAACAAATACAGTCACACAAAGAATTACAAGCAGACTGTTCACAGTGTAATTGGGGATTTGGGGCAATGTAATTAAGTTCCATTTTTTATTTTTTTTATTATTATTATTGTTATACTGTAAGAATAGTTGAAGTATATATTTGAAGTACTGCCATTTACCTGTATCACTTTTAGATGAATTAGCAGTTTTGAAAACTTACCCCAATTTAGGAGTCCAAATTGAAGGTGGATTTGAGACATAGCTGGAACCAAGTTCTTCAGATGTGTCTGTTTCTAAAGCATTTTAAAATGTATGCCCCCTTCGAACACGAAGGGACTGTGGATATCCTCCGCTTCCCAGGTTCAAGGAGTAGAATTAAGAGGGGAAATAAAAAAAAAAAAAATCAGCACTATCAGCACTCACACTTGTGGGTATAGAATATTTCCAGATATTTTTGTATTCCAGTGACAAAACAGATACTTGAAAGCAACCTGGGTTCTGGGAGGGTCTAGGAACCTGTATTTACTTTGGTAGAAGGATGGCCTTGGTTTCTTCCTGTACCCCTGGACTTATTTGAAAAACAAGGCTGAAAGAAATCCTTTCAGTAGTGGCAGGGACAGGCTGTTTCTCCTGAGGCTCTGAAACGCCTCTATCCGCGGCGGTGTGTGGATGCCTGTCTGTGTGGCCGGCAGCTGCTGAGGTGCGAGGAGGCAATAGGTGAACAGCAGTCCAGCAGAGGGCATGTGGTGACTCTGCGCTGTGCTGTACCATGCCAGTATATATGCATGAGCACCACGGTGACATGTCACGATATAGAGTGATGCAGACTGGAGCTACGGATGTGTACATCTGGCACGTGAGCAGGGGCAGCCAGTACAAGATGCATCCATATAGTTAGCAAGTAGTGTGGCACAACAGGAGCAGCTCTGGAGAAGCAGCTGTGCTGAGGAGCTAACATGCATTCTGTAAATGCTTCAGGGGGTTTGCTTATCTCTAGTCTTCATCTCTGAACTCAGTGGGTAGGTCTACTTTAGCTTTGCAGTTCAGCTTGGGAGTGTGCACTTGTAAAGTGAATTTCCTGATCTTCTCTTACTGTCTAAGCTTTTTTAGACTGTACAGGGTTTCTTCTGGTTGAAATGAAAATAGAAGCTGTGTTTCAGAAACACGCCTATTTTGTGCCATCTGCTAACAGGCCTTGGGTCCACAGCAGCAGGTCAGACCTAGCCTTAAGTAAAGCACCTTCAGATGTGTGTAGTGGGGATGTTGAGTCCTCAGCACCCGCACAACAAATCTGCCTGTGCTGGGCTACACTACTTGCTAATACATACTTAGTTGCAGCAACATGAAAAAGGGCAGCAGAAGGTCTGGAGCAGGAGCTGAGGACCTGTATATTAATTGCAGAAACATCAAATTTCTGACACAATTTAGTGTGTGATTTCTATTTCTGATTTATATGGGGTAGATACTCAATCTCCTTTACTGTTGGAAATACCACAGGGAATATGTCTACTAAATGATGTCCCCAGCAACAGAAGTAAATACTTGTTTGTTTTCTGCAGACTTTGAATATGTGCTGTGGAGCCGCCTTGCAGAAATAATGGAGGATATGGGCAGTGCAGTAATGATTAAGCAAGTTTAGTCCTTGTTTGGTTTTTTTGGACAGAAGCACCAAGGTTTCCAGTAACTCGTTGTGCTAAAGAATTAAATTACAAAATACATCCATGCAACATCTTGATGAAAAGAGCTGTATTAGAGGCTAGGGGCACACTGAACTTGTGCTGTGGTGTCTGTCCAAAACTGTTGGAAGTTCTGTGATTGCAGGGGGGAGTTTGTTTTAGTGAACTATAAAATCGTGTCAGCTAATGATCTCCTTGGTACTTTCAGAGCACAACATAAGTGGTCCCAAGTAAATAATTCCATTTTCTGTTAGTGTTAGAACTATTTTGGAAGCCATATCTAATATTTTTATAACAAGACCTTTACTTTTATGAAGTTCTTATGTGCATGCACGTTGTTTGAAAGAAGAAGAGATACTGGAAGTAGGGCTTGGTATAGCTTACTTTCACCCATAGTCTGTGCTTCAGCATTTGGTATTCTTTCTCCTGTACTGCTGGCTAACTTTTTCTTTGGTCTGCAGGTAGATTCCACTCTTAAACACTGTTATTTCAATTGTTCCCTCTATGCCCGAGAAAAGGTGCAAGAGGGGAGGAGTGGAGAATTGGGAGAATGACAAGAATGAGTTGTAGAGTAACCTGCAGGTTATACGGTAACTTTTTAGTTGTGGATTAAATTTCTTGTGGAAATGAAAAACTACCAAAAATAATAGGCACCAGGAGTTAAAAATGCATAAGGAAATGTCTTCTGGAATAGATATAAGATAATGCTGTGAGAAGAAAAAGGAAGTAGTAAATTCTTATGACGAAAGCTAAGGAGTGTGCTGTCCCTTTGGTTGACTAAAAGGGAAAGAATGAGCTGCTACTATTATGCTTTGTCATGTGCTGATGGGGATAACCAACACCAGCTGTGGTTATGAGATGTCCAGTAACATGCAAAGTGAGTTGCTGTGTCTTTGATTATGGTTTTGGGTTGTCTGGTGTTTTTGTGAGGGGAAAGAAATACCATTAATGCAGTGGAAGGGAAGCCTATTTAAGAACACTCCTTTCACTGCAAAAATTTACCCCCAAAGCCACTACCTTGAATTCTATAGTAAATGGACTTTCCAGTTGGGTACTGCTAGGTAAGTATTAGATAATCAAAAATAAAAGCTTTCTGAACGATCTGCTACCCCTCTTGTCCCAGTAAAGCAAACATGTTAAACTGCTCCTTGCCAAATGTGAGTTTTCCTACAGGTATCCATAAGGATATGTCAGCTTCTCCTTCTTCTCACCCTGCGTTGCCATTGAGTTTATATTTAACACCTTCCCTGTAAAAGTAGCACTTTGAGCTTCAAAAAATTCCATGAAGTTGAGATGGATTTTAAATTGCATGTACCATCTTACTTCATTTACCTACTCTTACTGAAGCTTTCAAGCCTTCTCCAGTTTTAGCTATATTAATTTAAATAGCTGTGTTTCTTCACACTGAATGTTACCACCTATCTTACTATTTTCCCTTCTAGTTGATATTCTGCTAAAAAACGTCTTTACTGTTTACAGCCGTGGTGCATCCTACAATTAATCATTTACCATGGTGAAAATAACAGTGCAATCAGTCAGCATCTCTTAAGTCAGTTACCACTTCATAAAAGTTCAGTGATTCTAATTCACCATATTCTTAATGTCTGTTCATAGTTTTTTATGAACTTTTGTCAATTCTTGAATTTGCTTTTCATTTGGGCCTGTTTTTTGGGGTACAAGTGTCCTATCCTCAGGCTTCAGAACACAACTGTGAAGTATTGCTTACGCTTTCCAGAGCTGACCGTGTTGATTCCTAAAGAGGCTTGTATGTAATATCCCAATAGCTTTATGAAGCTACCAGTGGATTATTTGTTACCCTGATTCTCAGGCATGTTGGGGGTGGGGGTGAGGGAACGGATAATATGGCCAGGATGAAAACAGCCCTTTTGTGGGACAAGAGGCTTCCTGAATGATTTTGTAGGTGTTCTTAAGGAATTTAATTCAGCTTGCTGTAGAAGCAACTACTTTTCAGAAGGGTACAAGCAGCAGCTAAACCTGCTTAGAAAAACGTAGTGCCGGTCACAGTTTTCCTCTTGACGTGACGGAGCAGCATAACACAACTTGATCAGGACTTACAAAAGAGAGGTAACTTTGAAGAAATCAAGATTGATGGACTTATCTGGACATGTATATATTTCTTGTAGGGATAAATCCCATTTGACTGTCTGAGTTCCAAAGAAGAAAAAATTAGTGTAAGAAAATTAAGCATTTTTCTTACTCTTCCATGGTACTATAAGTCTCAGTCACGTCTTCCTCAGACCCCCAGCTGATACCCACCCTGATTGAAAGATTTAAATTGCTTAATGGACCTTTAATCTATTTGCCCCATTCCCTATGTAACCTGATATTGAAGGTCCCATTGGTTTTCAGAAGTCATCTAAAGAAAGTACAACATCCGGGGGTCAACCTCTTCCCCATTCATTAAATTTGCCTCTCCTGGGGATGATCCCAAAGACAAGTAGATCCTTACATTCTCACGGTATGGTCAACTACTGACCTTGCAACTTTAAGCAATGTTCTGCATATTACTGTTGTATTGGTTGTTTTTTTTTCCCCACAAAAAAAAGGCAAGCAATTGGGGAAGAAGGTTATATGGTGTTTACAGATCTCTTCTGCCTGA